CGGAGGCATCAAGGCCTACCACATCCAGCAGGGAGAAGAGAGCCCCCTCACACCCTCAGGGCCGCAGACGCTCTCGCTGCTAATGGTCCCTACCAACTCGCCCTTTGCAGACCTCAGCAACACGCGCGGCCAGAACGAAGCGCCCGAAGAAGACTTCTACCTCCACCTGAACCTGCCTCCTGAGCTCGACCTCCCACTCCCCGCGACGACGCAGATCTACCACCAACCGCCGCGCAGCTACCTGATACCGCGATGGGACTTGGGCCCAGAGAGCGGCGCCTTCACACGCATTGAGTTCCCGCCAATTGGCAAGGGCTCGACTTCGGTCACGCAGGAGGACGTCGACACCTTCGAGACTATCTTGGCGCAGTGCACAGCCTTCCTCGAGCGTGCGCAGGCTCCCCAGCACGAGAAGGGCAAGGGTGACGTCAAGGCATACAACCCCCAGGACTACCGACCAGGCGAGGGTTACGTAGGCAGCGGCAACAATGGCGAGGTCGTTCTGGTCGACGAGGAGAATGGTAGCGTTGTTGGTGAGCTGGCTGAGGGTGCCATGATCCACGCCGACCCAGCACTGAAGCAGGGCTCCAAGAGTATGTTGTTTGAACCCTTTTCGCGCGTACGCATATCGCTCATGCTAACACAGGCAAAGATCCCGTTGAAATCGTCGTCTCCCCAGACGGCAAGCGCATCGACATCCGCCCGCTCGAAGAAGACTACCTCGAGATGGCCCGCCATCCCGCCTACAAAGACTCCGGCCTTGTACAGAATGCCGCTGCCGCATCTCGCCTCGTCGTCACCGGCTCCAGCTACATCAGTAACATGATGGTGTCTGGTGCGGAGAACTTTATCAACAAGACCAAGCCCAACGAGAAGCCCATGGTCTTCAAGCCCGCGACCCACGAGCGCGTCCGCAAGATCAACACTCTCACGACCGGTGTCGCTGGCTACTCGGCCAAGACTGTAGGCCAGCTTACAAAGTACGCTCAAAACGCTGCGGCGGGAATGGCAGGCCACAAGAAGACACACGCCAAGAGTGTGAACCCAGATGGCACACCAAACACAAACTACAAACCCGGACTGCTGAACAAGAGCTTGATCGCCTTCTCCACAGTTGCAGACGGCATATCGCACTCTGGCAAGCAACTCTTGACAAGCAGTGGTGCAGCCGCCTCTGCAGCTGTCGGTCACAAATACGGCGCCGAAGCAGGACAAATCACGACCAACCTCGCTGGCGGCGTCAAGAACGTCGGCCTGGTGTACATTGATGTAACTGGCGTGAGCAGGAAAGCCATTATCAAGTCTGTAGCCAAGGGCATGGTTGTCGGTAAAGTCAAGGATAAGAAGGGCAATGAGCAGACTGTGCTTGTTGGTGGAGGCGATGGCGGCACTGTCACACCAGGCGACTTGGGCATGGGCGCATCGAACAATAATGCTCCTCCCAACCAGAGTGGTAGCGCAGCGCCTGGTGGTCAGGTGAGCTTTGGAGGCCCGCCGCCTAGCTATCGGACGGGTGTTGGTGAGAGCCTCGAGGGACAGCCGGCATACTACCCGCAAGAGAAGAGGTAGGGTCTGATTCCATAGCTTTATGATGGTATGAGGTATGAGATCATGATACGGGGCGACTGGCATCGCGCGTGTAGAGCATGCAGTGGTACTTTTCTTTCCTAGTCCGTCGTGCGCTGTCGACTGTTTCTAGCGATGTACACTTCCAATGACAATTGTTTGCAAAACCATGTCATTCTCTCCCGCTTCTTCTTCTCCTCCATTCCGACTAACTCTCTCACGACTCGCTCGATTGCTGTCCCGCGCCGAGAAACCCTCCGAGTTCTCGAGTCGAAATTACATTGTTTACACCAGCGGCAACCTCGGCTGGAAAAAAAACAACGCGAACGAACCATCAGCCCGTCAAAGACTAATCACTAATATCAATTCAATGACGGGAAGTAGCTTCAACGCCTCAAACAACCAAGACGGGCAATCTCGTTCTCAACAGCGTCAAAGCGCCTTTTTTACGAAAGTCAACTCTGACTCCTCCTGGACGCCCGCGGGAAGCATGTGTTCCGGCGTTTCCCGGTAAAAACCCAGGCACGGAAGGGCGATGAAAGGGTCAAGTAGTTTTGGGAAAGGAGAGAAGCATGGGGAAGAAGCGTGTAAGCAAGTATGTGGTCTCCAATTGAGCAAAGTAGTCCAGGTCTGGTAAAGCTCCTGCCCCCTCCCCCCTCTTCGAGAAGAGAAGAGAAAAAAAAAAGGGTGGACATGGGCGGGTATGACTGTGACGAAGGGGGCCGGGGCGAGTACCGTACTGTTGTCTATAGTAAGGGAGGGTATTGGTAAGTGGGGAGGGAGGAGGGAGGAGGCGCGCTGTTAAGGCCTGGGGATAGCGAATATAAGCGGATGATCCCGTCGGATGCTGTATATGATCGTTTGGACTATTGATTCTGCGAGTTACCATGTGTCAAATGTGGGCTGTTGTTGCTATATGGCGTGTAGAAAGTTGTATATGCGATCGGAAGATGCCGAAGTGATGGGTTGGAGGGTTATAGTATAGTATAGGCAGATGGGGTGACAGATGGGGGCGTGGCGATCATAACGCCATCATATCAGTTATATTCCGGTGGTCTATCGCCTTCTGATCATCGTGAACAGAGGCTGTTGTGTCGATGGTTGGTGGGCGGTGGTCACGACGCTGCACATCACTTATATCCCGGTGGATTATGATGTGATGGCAGCTGATATGATACACACATTACTTGACGGTTTGATATCAGACTTATCGAACAAGGTAAGTAGCTGTAGGCGTCTGAGTCGTATTGCTCGCCGTCCACTCCTCTAGGGGGTAATGGCGCGAGTGTCATGATCTACCGCATTCACTGAGTCGGCAGTCTGCACAGGAAACTCACCGTTGTCTATATGACACGCTCGGTATGCTATATGATGTTCGGCTGCCGAAGAGATGCGACTCATACGTGCCTGTCAACACCTGCAGTGTTATGTTTCAAATTATATAGAGTCCGTGCTCCCCTCGACTCGCTTACCTTGGCTCAACTCCTCTTAAACATACTCACTGACATGCATATTGCCCAGCCGGGTTTGTAGGGGTAATTTGGGGCGTTCGAGATGCTAATTCTCCGATGCAATGCCGTTGAATGATCTGCGACACATGTATTCTAGGTCGTGTGGGCAAAGTGACGGTAATGCGCGTGGTCTTGGCGACGGTTCGGGGCTGTAGGCGTATGTGGGTTAGGATGGACATGAGAGTGGGATGGTTGACCGATCGTTGAAATTGCAAAGGTTGGGGTGACGTAGGCTATGTTGCGACTGTTTTGTTTTCTCTTGAATGCTTCTTTTTCCATGAGTGTGTGCTGGTGGTTGCGTATGGCGTATGTGGCGGGCGGGGGAAGACGGAACGGTGGGTGTGAGTGTATTGAAATTGTTGTTTCGTGGTTGCGGACGGTACAGGCCGGGTAGGTAGCCTAAAGATGGGGGAAGAAAGAAGTATAGAGCTGGAAGGCGGCCGGTAGGCACAACGTTGTTTTTCTTTCCTCTTTGTATGAAGGTGTGCTACACAATATTAGTTTTTTCGTATCCCGTATCCGCCATCCTGGATCCTGCTGTGACTTCAACGTTGCTCGTGGAGGCTGCCTTCCCTTGCAGACCGATAAACAGCAGCCGCGGCTACCCACTTTACTGTACTACCTACATCAGGAACACCGATATGTACCAAACGCATGCACAATGGATAGGACTACTGAGAAAAGCATACAAAAGCACAATCGTAGCTTCCACCCGGCCCTACATCCGACAGTTATCGCCCACGCGACATCACCCGTAGTCGCTGTCGTCGTCGTCGTACACACTACGTAGCACATGACCCTCTAACCGCCTTCGCTACACCTGCATACCAGCCTCATTTTTCCACCGCTGATCGTGCATATCGCCGCACCGCGCATGCGACATTCGTCACACGTACATATGCTGCCCTGCCCAACGAGTGCAGTCCACGATCGAACAGTCGAGTAAGCATCGTACGTGTAGGTGAAGTTCGACAAGCGCTGTATGCGATGGTTCTGTTCCGCGGATATCATCGCGTGATGCTGAGGGTTGCATATGATGATAGATGAATGAGCACGTGGAGGGTAATTGGTGGTCGAACAACGCCGGCCGTTACGCCGAAAGGGTCTTTGTGGAGATGCTTCTCCACGGCGGGCTGCGATGCGATGCCTCGATCGTTGTAGATAACTGGGGAAACCGCGGTCGAGTAGAGCAAAAGCGAGCTACGCATCCAGCAAGCCAGCAAGCAAGTCATCCCGCTGCCCAACGGACGGCAGCGAAAACAAACGGGTTCAGGTTTCTTATTTCAGCTCCGTGTGTGAGGCGTGTGGGCACGAGGCGACAGGGCGCGCCGTTGTTCGGGAAGTGGATGTCAGTTTGTATATAAGAGAAGCAAACATCGTGTTGTTTCCTTTTCCTTACTCCGTATCAAGTTACCTCGAAGAAACAAGAATACCTACTTTCTACCAATCGCAACACTTCTTCCACATCCACACATTCCTCTTCGAGACAAAGATCCACTTCAAATTACAGTCATGATCTTCGAAGCCCTCAGTATCCTCGTCATCGGCGGCTTGAAGCTCACAGCTGTTGGTCTGGCGTTCAAATGGATGGCTCGGTACTAGGGCGCACACGTCTTTACACTCTCTTCTGCCGAACAAACATGGAGGCGGGAAGTGAAGCGAGTAGTTTTGGCCGCTACAGGGAACCAGTTCCCGCGGCCAGTCAGAAGGACAGGAGTTGTTTGGTGTGATTGCCCCGCTGTATGGTGTGAGGCGGGGTAGTTCGATAGACCACAAGGCAGGAGAGCGACAACGGAACGGGGCCGCGATTTTCATCCCACAGACAACAACAACATCAGCATCGCTGCGCTTTATCAGAGGCACTGTCACGTATCGGCGGCACGCATCACCGCTTCGGCTGGTCTCTCAACATACACCGCAAACATGGCAGATGTCCCACAGACCTTCACGACCCTACCCATACTCCCGCTCAGTGCAGCCCTGGACCCCGCTACGAAACCTCAGTTTCTAGAAGACTTGCGCTCCGCTTTGTTGAACGTGGGGTTCTTGTACCTAAGCGAAACGGGTCTGCCTGGGCAGTTGATTCAAGATGTGATCAAGGAGTGCGGGCGATTCTTTGAGGAATTGCCGACAGAAGAGAAGGAGAGGATCGAAATGAAGAACGAGAAGAGTTTCTTGGGCTGGAGTAGGGTGAGTTTGTGATTCATTCGAGTTTGTTCATGTTTCAAGTCCTGGGCGATGGATGTGCAGAAGAAGGCCGTAATGTGCAGATATGACGATGGTCTTATTAGAAGCTATCGCTATGCTACGCTATGCATGGTATAAAAGGAAATCGATCTATGAAACTATGATACAAGAACAGAAGAAGCAGGAAAGCGACAAATAAGAACCGGCCGTAATCCCGTAACGCGTATGCACAATAAACCTCCAATGCCCTCAAAGTAACGCCAGTTGCAAAAGATCAAAATCACCCGGGTATATCCCAAATACACGACGCCAACAATATGTACTCGAAGGCCGTAAACTTGCGCTCGCTCTCCCCTGCCATTACCTGTCCTTCTCTTCCTCTTGCTAAAATAAAAACACTTTTCTTTTTTGTTCCGGCTCGTCGTAATGCATGCTGACAACATTCGTTCGTAGCTCGACAACGAGACCACGGCATTCAATCCAGACCACAGAGAACAGCTCGATCTTTCGACTCCACACCCCATACCAGGACTCGACGCCCCACTGTACCACAATCTTCTCGCACCAAACCAATGGCCTTCGCCAGAGTATCTACCGTCTTTTCGACCAGTGTATGAGGACTACATACGTCGCATGTCGCACATTTCCACGCTCTTCACATCGTTGATAGCAGAAGCTATTGGACTTCCCTCTACTGCATTTGAGAAATTCTTCGATCGCGACCAGCAGCACAAGCTCAAGATAGTCAAGTACCCGGAGGTCGATGTACCAGATCTGCCAGCTGAAGCGAGCGAGATGGATCGCAGGAAGTGGGAGATCAAGCGCCAGGGCGTAGGTCCGCATAAAGATAGTATGCTGACGAGCTACTTGTTGCAAGCTTCCAATCAACTTGGTCTGCAAGCGCAAAACGCAAAGGGTGAATGGATAGACTGCAAGCCGATACCTGGCACTCTTGTCGTGGCAATCGGCCAAGGTATGGAGGCTCTCACAGATGGTGTCTGCGCATCAACCACGCATCGTGTCCTCAGTCCACGCAAAGGCGAAGGCGCGCGCTACTCCGTGCCCTTCTTCCAAGGCGTGAGCTACGACGCCCAATTCGAAGCCATGGACGTCCCTGAAGAAGTACTAAAGCTCAGGGACCAGGCGAGGAAGCAGCGCAAAGACGACGTCGAGTTTACGTTTGTCAAAGGCAGATGGGGACATCTCGGCGAGGCAACGCTGATGAACAGGATCAAGAGTCACCCTGACGTTGGCGAACGATGGTATCCCAAAGAGCTACAGCTGATACGCGCGCAACAGGCAGCCGCAGCGAAGGCGTCATCATGAAGAGCGATCGCGACTAGGAAGGGCCTGTAGTCGTAGTGTACATGAACCATTGATGTCTTGTCAAGTCTTGTCCAGCGGCCCCGGGTCAATGTGTACCATCCGTTCCGTAAGCGTTCATGCGGTGTGACAAACATGCACACAAACCACCGTGATCAAGGATCAAGGTACAATGCGGTGAGCTGAAGTCCACTTCGTATGGTTGCGTATCGGCAACGCTTCCCTATGCAGACGCAAGCGAGCGCAGGCGCCGTACTGCGAGAAGCTGCAGTTGCGATTGGGCGGAAGTGCGCCCGAACGCATGTGTCCCATGTGTTCGGATCCGCGGGACGCCACGCAAAGACTCCACACCTTGGGCTTGGCAACGAAAGGCTCCGCAGGGTGGGCAGAAAAAAGGCACGCCAAAATTCTGCTGGCCACGGTCTTTCGGCGTTACGGCGCTTCTATGCCCATCGGAAGAACACAACCGACGGAAGATACAGTAGGGCCGGCGATAATCCACAATAGTAGGAACTTTCACGACGACCCGATGCTGCATGCGTGACCAGAGACCGGTGTAGCGCAGTGTAGCTCGTAGATAGCTCGTAAAGTGTATTTGGCATACCATGTTTCAGCGTTGGTGGAGACTTGACCGCACGAGGAAATTTTAGCAGACTTTCTGGAAGCTAGCCCCACATGCGCCATGCATGTTTCCCTTGCGCGAGTTACCAAAGACAAATACCATGACGGACAGCGGCGGATGTATTCGTGTGTGTGGTGGCATGGGCGAATCGAACGGATGCTCGGATGTCGGGCTATCTCGGTTGCATTGCTCCTTCAGGAACGGGTTTGCAGCGCACCATCGAAGCAGCCCATCGGACTAGCTAAGGGGGAAGCGAAGGAAGCGACTTGGAAGCCCAAAACGCCGCTCACAAATCTCGCGACGAGGCCCCCGGTCAGGCGCGCAGAAAACGGAGGATCCACGGAATGTTCCATTTGCTCATTTCCCAGTCTTCTTTCGCCTTCCACCAAATCCATCATCATCGGATCCACCTCTTCACCGTCCATCGTGGTGCTAGTTCTCCCCAGGGAAAACACACTAAGCTGTAGCGTCCCAAGGCGGGTCTGTCTGCAAAGACGGGCGACTGCAATCTTGATGTGATTCCACATACCGCATGTGGGGCTTTCCGTGCTGATGTTTCATCGCGCTTCATGCGATCGTGGGGGCACTGTGTGTCCATCCAAAAAAAAATGTGATGCGAAATTGCCCGAAGCTGGGGCGTTCTTGGAAACGGGTGACCAACGATGCGGTGAACGTATGGACACGGCTGGTAATGCAATTGTTGCTAGCGTGCAAACCCAAAGGGATCATGGCATGGTCGTCCCTATCAATTCCCGCGAGATCGCGTCTTGCCGTCATCGACAGAATCGAGCAGCGGCGCGAGATACCACATTCGGAAGGGCCCTTGCGGAACAATTGTGTTATATCGCCGAAGAATACAGCCTATCGAGACCGTGCCGCGCAGTGCCGCGTGTCGCTGGCAATTATGTCCCGTCTCGAGGAAGATTGCAAACTGAACAATGGGCTTGTTCTAGGGTGCTTCGCGCGTCTAGTAGATTGCTGGAAATGGACGTTCTGGTAAATCGAAGGATCGTCTCCCTGGTACCCCTGCCAACGGTCTGCAGCCACGAAGGATTTGCGGACATGTTTGGGACGAGTCGTGCTCATCCTCAATGCTCAACCTTCATGTTGGACTGATACGGCTGGTAGATGATGTGCTGGCCTTGCTCGTTCATCATCTGAGGCTGACCGTGCTGGGCATGCATCATGGGCATCTCGCTACCGTGACTCACTTGAGGTGGGTAGCCTTGCTGAGGACCAACTGGGTAGGAGCCGTAGGGTGCAGACGTGTGATGCTGCTGGTGCTGAGGCGGACCCTGGCCTTGAACCGGCTGGTGATGCATAGGAACGCTCATGTGCCGTTGGTATTCCGAGGCATGAGGCGAAGGATGCGAAGTGGGCGTTCCGTATCCGGACATTGGCATAGGCTGTGAGGTGACCATGGAAGCATTCTCAAGCGGGTAAGACATGGCTCGCGCGTTGCTCTCCATGACATATGGGCTGGGATATGACATGTTTGGTTGCTCGACCGCATGGACTGACGCATCCTGCACTGGCATGGAAACTTGATGGTGCTGCTGCTGTTGCTGCGGGTGGCCAGGGTGAGGACTCCAGCGAACTCCTTCGTGCTGTGGCGCTTGGACTTCACCCATGGCAGGTGGCGTATCAACATGGGGCGAGGAGACGTGATGGGCGTACGTATGCTGCGACTGCCAATGTCCAGGTTGCGACACAGGTGTTGCTATTTCGGGTACTGAATGTGCGCTTCTCGCAGTTCCAGTAGACATTCTCCGAGGTTGGCTAAGCATATGAACCCGGTCACTCGGTGAAGGTGCGCCTGCTGTAGTGATGTCAGCCTCTATGCATTGATATCACGTCAACTGCAGAAGAAAATCGCTGTTCTCGTCTCGCTTGGGCTCTAAAAGGAAACCAACGTTACAGATACTGCACGTCGCTCAATCGAGCCGCAGACTCGGAAAGCGGGAAATGAGGCAAAAGAAAGATGTGACTTGTTGCGAAAAGAGGGTCGGCTGCACCAAAACGGTCGCGGCCCGAGACACCAAAAAGCAACAACAACGCCCAACGAGCTTGTGAGTCGAACAATTGGACAGTGCTTTTGCAGGAATGAAATCAATATTACATACCTGCTCCTGATTCTGGGACTCCCAGTGCCGACACGGCATGTGATAGACGAGCGCGGAGGACAGAGTTCTCTTGCTCGAGCTCCTCGTTTCTTCTGATGAGGTCCATCATCTTGGTCGACGAATTGTTTTCCAATTGCGCAGTGAGATCGCGAACTTGGCGCTCAAGTGTGTCGATATGGTCCTTCGTTCTTTGACGAATCGCTCGCTGTGCTTCTCGGTCATTGGCTCTCTTTCGCTCCAGTTGAGCGGCGGTGAGAGTAGTGACGCTGCGGGTACCAGCTCTCGATGGTCGCTTCTTCGCACCAGGAGTGAGCTGTCTTGCTTCTGAGCCAGAAGAATGGCCCTCATAAGGCGGCGACCTCTTCTGCTGATCCATGTGAGGCGAGTGGTAGCTGGAGGTACTCATGAAGTCACTCCTGTAGGCGATAGGGTCTCGGTAGTGGAGAATTGAAGTCATCGAGGATCCGCGAGAGGCGGTGAGAGTATATGCGATGTCGACGTTGCTATGTCAGCGTGGCCCAAACGAATGCGGTCCAAGCGTTTGACAATATCAAGTACTGTCTCTGCGGGCGAAGGGTGCTCCCGGGCTCCCAAGAGGGGAAAATGACGAGGGGTTGAGGATGGCTGTGTGCCGTGTTCCAGACGCTGAGGAAGGAATGATGTCAGTGAAAGACAAATATTATAAACGAAGTCAGGGACAGCAAGACTAAGAGGGTGAAGCAAAACTGGTAGAGAGACAGGATTAATGGTAGCAAGACATGGCTGGCATGAGCCTATAACCTGCTATCAGGTCTGATGGATAGCGTCTTTCGGGCCCCATGCTCGGCCCTAGGCTAGTGTTGGCATCCTAATCCTGACCCCTGGTGGGTAGCCACACAACGTGGGTTCTGGGGAAATCGTTTCACTTTAGCTTCTACATTAGCACGAGGCTTGGATGCAGTGCAGCGTAGCCCACACACTCGTATCAGCTTAGGCTTGTAAAGACCCTTCACGCCATATAAACTCTCAACGGTGGTGGCAGGAGGGCTAGCAGAACCACGCCCTGCATCTGGATGCGCGTCGTGGCTCTTCTGGAAGGGCACTACAGGCTCTAGCTTGGGATATTGCACCCCACTCTAGGTGGCATGGCCGACTTCCTGCGCAACACCCTTCGGCCCACCTTACGTCGAGAGAGCGCGCAGAAAAGCGCCCGTGGCTCCACCGCGAAGGGTCTCCGGAAGCGCATAATAATGGGCAGACATGGTCCTGATGTCGCCATGACCGCTTGCCAGTCAGGTAGCTGGTCGTGTTTGCGGACCGTAGCGAAGTTTGGATGACAGGTAAGCAGACACGGACAAAATGTGACGTTTGAGGAGCGTATGGCGTGGGCTCATGCAGCCAGAGTACGTGAAGCGATGCCAGGATCCAGGGGTGACACCGGCCAGGCAAAGGAGCGAGCAGACGAGCAGGCCCCGGCAGCGCTAAAAGGGTCAGCACGTGGAAGCCCTGCATGATGAAAATTAGCCCGAGAATGCCAAGGGCTATGATGGGCCTGTCCTTGGCCGCTTCAGTCGGAGGGCCGGTCGACCGTGTGTTTACTCTACCAGGGCATCGAGCGTCGAGCGTCGAGCCAGTGGACAATTGCGAGACGCTCGAGGGTCCGCTGTGGATCTTGACGTGTATTGAGTCCCAGGGGTGCAGCCTCGACAACCACGTCGATCATGTCGGGACCCAGGGACTTCCCATCCTCCGCAGTGAACGAGCGCTGGTGAAAGGATAGTTCCGAGGTAACTCCACGGACCATGTTTACACACAGGTGACATATCGAGTTTGAGCAATGTTGCCGACCTGTATCTACGTGCTGTACATGTTCGGCGGAGACAAACTCTATCGTGGCCTCATGGCTATCGATGTGTTTCATGCCGTGTGCTGGCTATGCATACATGGTACGTCTATATTTGGCGCCCTGCAGACTAAGCGCATGGCCGGCACGTGGAAAGATATGGTGAAGGCTCCGTCATTCGCTTGGATTGCATTGCCGACAGTCGGACTTGCAGAAATGAGCTGAGGAGCATTGGCCAGAGAGAGTCCGTGATGCGCTCCTGCTGCCCGCCGCATGGGAGAGAAGCTGTAAAAGGTTGTGGCTGATGCTCGTGCACCTTGCATCTCACGACCCGATTGTCCGATTACGGCCAGTCTCAGCTGCGCGAGCAACAGAATCGAGACGACCGTGTTGATGCATTCACACCTCGTGACGAAGTTTAGATGCTGATGAGCAGTAAAAGTGCCCTGGGGGCAGAGTGATCTGCTGCGCTATGCATCACATCCCCCAATAATCGATAAAGCAAGAATCCTCCGAGCAACCTCACCGCTCCATAGACGCAGGCGTACACGGCGAGGCTACAGCCGCTAGGCCCGGAGCGGAACTGCTAGTGCTCGTACCTTGGAGAGCCTGCCAGCCACGAAGGATACGCTTGGCGCCGATATTGGACGATAGCGAATTTCGGCAAGTGTTTCGAAGATGAGAATGATGCACGTCGGCAGCACTAGGCTAAGGTGCCGCCAGCCGCGAGCCGCGATGAGAGAATGGACCGGAGCGCGCGATCCTGCCCAGTGCCTTTCCTCTCGATGGAGATTCTCGGTAGAAAAAAAATATTGGTAGATGCATGTTCGCGGCCAGAGTCGTGGTGGTTTGGAGGGGCGCGGGTGGGGAGGCACGAAGGATCAGATTACGCCGCACCACTTGCAACGTCCGTCTGCTTGAGGTTAGCAGCGACGTTATTTGACGTCCAGCAGGATGATGTGCGTATACCTGAGACAGCGACAACTAGATGGCGTCCGAAAGCGTGCATTCATTTCCAGCAAACTCCATCTGCGGCCTCAGGTTTCGGTGAAGAGTCGAGGGCCATGGTACGCGTACGGGAAGTCACGAGGTTAGCCTCATTTCTCTCTACGTCAATGCTGTCGCCCGCCTCTCGCTTCTCCCTTGCACACAACCCAAGGCTATCTAGCGTCAATACTCTCACCGTCCATGCAAACTTCTAGCGTCGCCGCCGTCACTTCTCTACACAGTTAGGTAGTGGCTGAAATGGTACCACTCGATCCCTTTGCAATGGACGCGATTGGGGAAGCTCTTCCGATGCAAGCTGTCAAAAACCCTCCCAACAGGAACAGCACAGTGCCGCAGACATCCTGCCGAACCACCATCGTCATGACAGATGCGAAAATCTGAAACCAGCCGTTACTACTACAATGTGTATGGGTGAGCCTAATATGAGGTTTCCCCACACGTAGCTGCCCGAACGTTGATCTTCGCCGCATTCATTGGCATGCAGTATCAGGTATGCAGCTCGCGTCCAAGTATCTTCGATCTCGACCCTTCAGCGTCCAGCATGTAGCGGTGAAATCCATAATGCTCCTTACTCCGATTCCGTTTAGCCCCGTAGTCGTCTCCCTCGGACCCGGCGCAACGCAGTGGCATGCATCCGTGCAGTATGGCCCGGAGCGGCAGATCGGTTTCTGCAGTGTAACTACCTCGTCTGTCAGATCTCAGCTGCCGTGTCACCACCAGGAACCAAACACTGGATTTCGTGGGATCCAAAGCGAGGCACTGGTTCGTTCGCTAGACCTGTCTTACTCGTAAGGTGCCTTGCGGCTGCAAGCAAGCTTAGTTCAACCATTCCCAAGGGCCCTTCACCCAGGCCTAAATCCAGGACACCTTGTCCTCGACGCGGGCCCGTTCACGATTGCGCAAGCCGACCTGCGTCGGCCGGATCAAATGGTGTCCGAAACATCAGCATTATCCATCACTCAGGTGCCGGTTCCAAAGCAAGGCCAGCCGCCAAACTGTCACAGACGGACGGTTCGTCATGACTCCATACTTCGCTACCAAACTTAGGATATCTCCTTCCGTCTGTTTCTGACAATCAGCCGACATTCACCCACCGACCTACATCCTGATTGACCGCTGCTAAACTCGAACTCTATCAACCCAAACCCCACAAGACCATGCAGTCCGCTAGCGGCCACGAACTTTTGGTGACAACACAACCCCTATCCTGAAACATGCTTGGTGAAAATTAGAGTTTACGGGTCTACCCCAACAAGGATGCCCCACTTGCTCTAACCACACCATTTTGATCTCTCCTAGCCTCGCTAACGCTACAATTTCGCGCCCTCCCTCACCGATCACGCTTCACGATTCGCGCCAAGCGAGCCTGTTGCGCCATCAAGAGTCTCCGAAGCTTCTAGCTTTGAGGCTAGAAGTAGAAGATGGCGATGGCGTAACCCTTCGCTATCGAAGGGATTGGTGGGTCCTTGCAATTACAGTTTTCTTTCGCACTCGTTTCTTAGCAAACGCGAATGCGATTGTGACGTCGCTGGGCCACAAGTGGCTTTATCCATTGCTCTTGGACTGTTTGACCTGCAGGCTGCATGAAGGACGCAATTGTGGGGTGCATTGCTGAGGCTGAAAGTGGCTTACTTCTGACGTTGGTGGTCGAATTGGTGTAGATAACAGGCGAGGAGGGAAGCGCGCCTATTCGGTCATCGCGATACCTCCAGCTCTGCATGCTTCATCCATGCCCAACCATGACACCATTGTGGCTACTCAACCAAACTTTGTGCACGCTACTTTCGGGCACCACGGTACCAGAGATCTTAGTATGTAGATTGGGAGTTCATTCAAAACGTCGGAATCAATATCGCGAGGCTAACACGGGAGATACACAACCATCATCCCAGTGGTTGTTACTACCCAGAGCCTAAGATGGCGCAATGCTCCGGATCTAAGATAGCATCTTTAAGTCTCCGAGATCCATCTAGAGAAAAGAGAGAGTCGCACAGCTTGCCGCAGATGGTTAATTTGCAAGGACAGCCCATCAGAGCGATGCATGCCACATTGTCCCGCATCCGTCTACATGCCACATTGTCCCACATCCGACGTCTGCATGCCACATATATGACGCTAGAAGAATCCTAGAAGGGCCCTGTCTGTAAATTCTAGCTCACATCGACGTTGATTCGATGGCGTGCATACCCGACCTACACCCTCGCACGCCACACCGTGGTTCACCGGAACCTACTCCGTTCTAATGTACTTGTCAAAGATTTTCGAGATTTCGCGCGCGCTCTTCTTAGGGTATCGCTTCTGTCCACCCTTGTAGTCGACGTAGGTAACGCCGAAACGTGTCGTGTAGCCCTCGGCCCACTCAAAGTTGCTGCAGGTACACTATGTCAGCGTGTGTCATGACGCCTTTTACCACAGCGTTCCGCGGGAAGACCAAGGAATCAGTGTTTGAAGCTAGGAGAGATAGATGATCTACCCGAGTACGAACACGCAACACCACAATGCGGACAATAAAGTCTCCACCACTCGTTGGAAAAAGGAATTTCCATATGACAAGTGGGGAGGAAGGGTGTAGGAAACGTTGAAACTTGGAAGAATATGGGATGAACGTACTCCATGAGACTCCATGCGGAATAACCCCTGACATCGACTCCGTCCAATGTGTGAGCGTCGGCCAAGGCTCCAATATATCCCCTGAAGTATTCGCAACGGAACTCGTCGTCCAGCAGCTTCTCAAGAGGAAGATCGTTCTCTCCCTTGAGACTGGTGCCATTTTCAGTCACATAGAAGGTCGGGCCGCCATACCTATCACTAAGCCACTTGATTAGTTTTCTGAAGCCCAAAGGCATCGGCCTGAGCCAGACTGATTGTGTCTCTGGGCCGATCCATTCGCCCTTCTTGTTCTGGTAAAGAATGTCCAGGTTGCCAACATGATCTTCAGGTTCTGGTTCAGTCTCCTTGTGTCTAATGTAATTGGCGCAGTAGTGGTTCATGCCATAAAAGTCATTGCTTCCCTTGACAAGAGCCGCTTCTTCCGGTGTGAATTCAGGCAAGCGATCACCAAGTTGCTTGCGCATCGAGTCGGGGTATTTGCCAAAGTACACTGGGTCGCCAAACCAGCAGATTGCAAACTCGATCTTTCGGTCGCAGGCTTCGCGGTCCTTCGGATCTTCTGGATCCCACGGCTCCGTCCAGTCGCCTACACGACATATCAGTACACGTTTTTCATGCTCAGACGTCAGACCGATTGTAGCTATCCTCGCACGGGCTCGATATTGCGTGGGGTCGGTCCACTGTCATACGGTATACGCGAGCCACGTGCTGGTCACTTACCATTGAGCGTAATCCCAATCTGGCCTCCATCCTTGGACTTGAAGTCATCACGGTAGGCCTTGACTGCCGCACCATGAGCAATGAGGAGCGAGTGGCCGACGATCCACGGCTCCCTCGAAGAGTCACCCTCTGCGCTCTTGCTCCGATCACTACAACGGCCGGGAGCAAAAAGGCCGGTGCCATATCCGAGAATGGAACTGCACCATGGCTCGTTGAAGGTGATCCAATATTTTACCTTCGAACCGAATGCCTTGAAACACACCCTGGCGTAGTTCTCGTAATCCTTCACGAACTCGTCCTTGTTCAGCATGCCCCCATATCGCTTGTGCAGGTTGTCGGGGAGATCCCAATGAAACAGCGTTATCATCGGTTCGATGCCTGCGGCACGGAGGTCGTCGACCAACTTGATGTAGTACTGCAGACCTTTTTCGTTTACAGGGTCGTTGCGTCCGCCGAGTGGTATGATGCGGGACCACGAGAGAGAAAAGCGGTAAGATTTTGCGCCGATATCCTTCAAGAGAGCAATGTCCTCGTCAGTGCGGTGGTAGGAATCGCACGCAACATCTCCGGATTCTCCGCCTGCAATCTTGCCCGGGATGCGGCAGAAGGTGTCCCAAATAGAATCAGCACGGCCATCTTCATGCGGTGCGCCTTCGATTTGGTAACTGCAGGTTCGGAAACTCAGTATGTGACAACAAAGCGGCCCCCAAAACGATACATCGTGGCGGGGTACTTGGGTACTCTCCAGAGTGGAGAACGGTACTGGGTCAGACGAACCTTGCTGTTGCAAATCCCCACAGGAAATCTTTCGGCAAGTACGACTGCGACATGTTGGTTTTTGTAGTCAAGCAGTATGTGTGCTTGAGCTGACAGTTCAGAAAAAGAACAGAAGGCTGCCCGCAGCAACGGGACACCTATACTTCATATACGTGGACACAGTAATGGCTGCGGAGAACGTCCCGCCGTAACCGTCCTCACGCGTCGACAAGACCTTGACAGACGCGCCGTAAGACATATGAGGAACTTGGTAAGGCTCCGTCAAGCTCAAGCGGGCTATAGTCGATTTCTCCGTGTCGTCAATGGCTCCTTCGCCCATTGACCCCGCTCATCGTCACGATCACTTGAGGGTTATAGCTTCATCCCACATGACGAAGCTATACTTTTACGTCGATTCTGCCCGCGAGGGTCTACAATGTCCAGGGCGGTCAGTGGGACCTCGGGCCGCCGATTCAGCCTGCCTATTAACCTGCTAGGCGTGGCGCGGAAGTCATCTTGGGCTGAGGTGATGCCTGGAGGAGTGGGATGGCGGGGTACTGGGCAAGTTGAAGCGGCCGTTTTCCTTCCGACCACTGCCAGCTAACATGTTGCGCCGAAGAGTGTGTTCCTCGTCTTCTCATTCGTGAGCCTAGGAGCTGATGATGATCCAAGATGGAGATGTCGGAAACGATGCTCTACACGTAGTGGTAATTACGACACAGGTGGGTTGCAAGAGCTCATAGAAAGCGCTATCCCTCATTGAGAAGAGCTTCCGAAGGTACAGTATCTTCTCTCTCGAGCTTCAGCTTCAAGACTCTGTCGGAACCACAGTGAAGTCTGGTGCAACCTCGGCGCAAGCATCAGTATATAATGGGCGGCTGCTGGGGATGAATAGGACTATGATACAGCCTTAAGACAGTCGAACAATCTCCAAACGAACGCCCGCGACGATGCTCTCCGCGCTCCGAACCATTCGATCTCCGACGAGACGCGCCACAACGCAACTGCGCACCGCTGCGACACAGGCTCAGAAGCGCGCGGGCGATATATCCGACGCTTTCGCGTCGCTCTCGGGACAGGAGTTCAAGCCTCTGACGTCCGAATATGCCGACCTCAAAAGCCGTCTGATCCGGGGACATGAGAGCGAAGTACGAGAATCTTGGGAACGCCTCCTTCGGACACTTCGCGACGAGATTCCGCTCATTGTCGAGCAAGGCAGCAAAGTCATCCCAGAGATTGACTTCAAGGACATCGATAATGCACCCGAGTCCTTTAACAGCGAGCTGCGCAAGAGAGGTGTTGCAGTTGTAAGGAATGTAATACCCGAGCAGGAAGCGCTGCAGTGGAAGGAAGACTTGAGAGAGTATATTCGCCAGAATCCTCAGACAAAGGGTGAGTATATGCGTGTGTGCATCTCGGTGGGATGAATGCGACTGACCATGTTGTAGCTTTCCCCGCCGATAACCCTCAAGTCTTTGAATTATATTGGTCGCGTACCCAACTCCTCGCCCGCGGTAATCCAAACCTCCTCAAGACGCAAGCCTTCCTCATGTCATACTGGCACAGCCTCAACCCACACATCCCACTCTCCACAAAACACCCGATAAGCTACGCAGATCGCTTGCGCATGCGCCTACCCGGTGACGCCAAATTTGCACTGGGACCACACGTCGACGGCGGCAGTGTAGAACGCTGGTCCGAGGAAGGCTACGGGCTCGGGAAAGTCTACGACTCGGTCTGGAAAGGACGCTGGGAAGACTTTGACCCCTGGGAAGCCAGCTGTCGTCTTTCTGTCAACTCAGACCTTCACCAAGGCGTAGGAGCATGCAGCGCATTCCGCATGTTCCAAGGCTGGCTGTCGCTCTCCACAACTGGACCCTTTGAAGGTACACTGCTGGTCAACCCGTTGTTGGCCAAAGCCACCGCATACTACCTCCTCCGACCCTTCTTCTCTCCCAAACGAGGCGTAGACCCCGGTGCGCAAACGACTTCTGAGGCCCTCACCAACTCAGCGGACTTCCTCGCATCGGATAACTGGGAGATGGATACAACACAGAACGCATGGGTACATGGCGCGACGCCAGGTCGTGGTCAGGAGCTATCCCACCTCCTGCATCCGCATCTCAACCTGCAGAAGTCGATGATCCATATGCCGACAGTCAGACCTGGCGACTACGTCTCCTGGCATTGCGACACCATCCACAGTGTAGACAAGACGCATGCAGGCAAGTCCGACTCGAGCGTTTTGTACATTCCAGCTTGCCCGATGACGGAGGATAACGCCAACTACCTTGTCCGGCAGCGCCAGAACTTCGTCAATGGAACCCCAAGCCCGGACTTTGGCGGCGGTATCGGTGAGAGCGAGCATGTTGGACGTATCAAGGCTGAGGATATGCATGCTTTGGTTGGTGATGAGGGCTGTCAGGCCATGGGGTTGCAAGAGTGGGATAGCGATGCTGCGGGCTTGGGCCCTGGTAAGAGAGTCATTCTGGATCGGGCGAACAAGATTCTGGGATTTTATGATTAGCTATGATGAATGTTGAATGATCACTATAGGTTTGATTCGAGAATATATCCATCGTTACACTATTTCTATCTCACTCTAGTGTCCCCAGAAGAACCATTGTATACAAAAGGCGAGCGCCGTAATATCAGCTTCAGACCTGTTCCGACAGGTATTCTTGCTCTCCAATATCGCCTTCGACGACGATCCTATTGTCGACTCTGATGGTTCTGGTGTTCTTCCAGACATCTGGATTGAAGGTCACGGAAAGCTTCTTAACTCATCTTACCCAGCTTCGTCGGCAGTGAGGATTATCAGCACTGAGAACCGGCATATAGGGCTCAGAGCATGCGAGATCAAGTTTAGGGGCTATTGCTTTGCCGAAAATTTTTGTTCCAGCGAGCTTATGGTCGCTCGGAATAGAGGACTGGACCTGGACCCTGTGTTCAAGTTGTGGACAGTGTTACGAGACTGTTACTGGCCTGATAGTGCGAGACGTCGTCCCTAGGGTCAACTGGAAATTTACATCATGTCATTGTTTGGACCTCGACTTCGGTCAACGAGATGCGAAGGCAGGAAATGACACCCAGCATTCAAAAACTCGTTTCTCAAGGTCAGTTGGCGAGTTCATTGAGTGTGGGTAGACTGTAAGAGAGTGAACTGGGTATTCTGGAAGTTGGAAGACTCGTATTATGTACGTATGTACGTATGTACGTATGTACGTATGGAAGGAAGGAAGGAAGGAAGGAAGGAAGGAAGGAAGGAAGGAAGGAAGGAAGGAGGGAGGGAGAGGATGCTGTAGCAGGTTCACATGATAAGCTGTGATCATTAGTAGATGTGGCAGCCAAGTATAGACATTGTTTATAGATTGAGACACTAAAGTTACTACAAATGCAGTTCGTGATGTTCGCTATTGCAGATATGACTGATCTCTGTTAATCACTGCATATGATTTTCCTGTTTTTCTGTCATGCATACGTTCTCCGACAAAACGAAGAGAGTGCGCTGTCCTAACTGAAGTCATGCGCATCGGGCAGAGATGAAAATTTCACCTTCCTCGCTCTCACCTTCCTCGCTCTCACCTTCCTCGCTCTCATCTTTCTCGTTCTTACCTTCCTTACAAATGATATCCCAGCCTTGGCGCGCACACCAACAACAATCACTTTTCTTTCCTCTACTTTCACCCTTCGCTATCAACAAACACCTCACGCTCATCTACGTAATAGACTCTGATCGCGTCGTGGGCTGCTCGAGTAATCGCCAAACCAGTGAGTCCTTGTCGCTCGCTGCGATCACGCACTCTTCATCGACACTCGCTGACCACAGCAATTCTAGTCCTGCCACCACGATGCAGATCCCGAAGCAAATCTCCAGTCCGGCAGACCCAAAAGAGCCTTCCTTCCTTAACCTTCCGGCCGAGATTCGCAACCAGATTTATGAGCTCTTGTTCACGCGCGAAGAGCCTGTCTTGCTCCACAATGCCAAAGCATATCACGCTATTCCACCACAGAGAATCCCTGATTCCAGCTGGCCCGTTACAGTAGAGGCTTTTGATGAAGCGTACGAGAACGAGATTTGTCAGGGTCAAATCTTCGTCCATGATTTCCAGACAGTCACTCCCGCTCTCCTCCTATGTCGACAGGTATACGCTGAAGCAGCCGGATACCTATACGGCAACAATACTTTTATGTTCTCGCGCCCGCTTTATTGCCACGATTCTCGCGGCTACGATGAAGAAGATGCAGAATATGACGACGACTCGTACTTCGTAACAAATTATGTGGCCCAGTGGCTGCAGAATCTGGGCTCTCAACTCAAATTTCTGAAGGAGGTCCGCATAGATGCCGGTGCTTTATGTCCCGAACGGTGCTACAGAGCACTAGGAGATGTCTCTATTCTGAAGCTTGTAAGGCTATTATGGGAGCATCCCTATCTTGCAGATGTAGTCGCATTCACCCAGAGAGAACCAACAGAGCGCGAGAAGGATGATTGCAGTGAGTACAATCATTTTGAAGAAGAGGACGACATGGACCGCGCGGGACATTTACAAAGGATTTTGATCGCAATCAGTACTCAAGACGTCTTGGACTTGAAGCGCTACGCTTTCAAGGGACTGCTTGTCGACAATATCGTCCTCTACTCGTCTTTGCTGTATGGCGGGGTTACTGGACCAAATTTGATCCGACATTTCAGTGCTCTGGAACAAGAAGCTGTGAAATGGGTAGAGTTCGGAAGTTCTCGCGACTATCTCGGAAGGTTGCCAACGCTCTTGCAGAGCAAGATCCTCAGGCTGGTCACATTTTCAGCTGACCAGATTGTACTCGATCTTGACTCGCGCTCAATACGAGGCCTCAACCCGATAGGTTTTCATCTGAGTCGGAAGCTCAGGGATGCTGTTACATTCAATTCAATACCCTATGATACAAGCATTGTTGTCAGGAAGAGTATCAGCACTACGACCTCGGATTCCAAGAACTTTGCCGTTGTCGCCTCGGAGCTGGTTAGTCCAACCGGAAGGAACAGTGGATACTCGATATTCTGGGGGTCTTTCCAAGAAATTTTCAGCAGCCATCCATCTATAGTCATCGTCCTCGACTTCGATATCGCAACAGCCACCTCCCTGAAGGAGATCCGTATAAACATCAAGGAAGTTGTACCTATACTGAGCCATATCTCCTCCTATTCCAAGGCAAAAGCTCACTTCGTCCTCAAATGTCCTTGGGGAAACTCTATACACCACGAGGAAGTCACGATTTCGGTGGTAGAGTTGATACAAAGCCTGTTCCTACTCTTGAGCGATGTCAGGCAGCAATGGCCCTCAGAGATGGCTAAGGCCGGCGGAAGTCAGCTTCCCGATATCTGGCTTAATGGAAATGGCGTCCTCATCTTTGCGTCATACCCGGCAAGCTCACACTCTTCGGAACGCCGTGTAGAGTATGCGCATGGTCGACTCACACCTACCGAGATACGCAACCGAGGGTACAGGATGGCAATGGCGACCTATACGACTTATAATCACGGAACCTCTGTAGGAATGCTGTACAAATGTTGGATACAAATACGTGGCCTTCATTATCAGGATAGGGATAGAAACAGAGTTTGAAGAACGGTAAAAATCACAAGTGTGCAAGGACTGGATGTATACTGAGCAAAGAATAGTGACCAGAGCAGCCACTACCGCAGAGCACTTGGTAGCGGAGTCAACCAACCAACCGAGCACAATGGAGTGGTATGCAGCTTTCACAAAGCCGCAGGATTACCATAGAACAGAAGAGAGAAGTTACTCACAGAAGTGGCGCCCCCTTGCGTTTTGTGTACCAAGAATAGCGGGCGGAGGAATGACGATAGGGAAAAATTGGATAAGACGGGAGCCGTCATTTGTATCTAGACGTGCATGCAACAACTTCACTTCTGATACATTGCGATGGAGGAACGTCGATGATCAGGCAGGGCAACACAACGCGGCCAAAAAAAGCTTAGTAACTTGCAGAATCATAATGCTTTCAATCTTTTAACCGCACCGTCACCACTTTCCAGTTGTCCTCCTCCCACGAAAACAAACGGATAACGATAAACTCTTAGCGAACACTGCCACACTCCGCGAAGACCTGGATCTCAACAGCCGAAGTATGACATCGTATGACATCGTCTCTTCCAACAATGACGAAAAGAAGAAAACAAGCCGTGTAAGAAGTGCCGAAACAGATTGCTTTATCTCGAACGGGGAACGACGCCACGGGTATCGTTGTTGTTTCAGTGACCCCGGATGATCACTCCGTTTTAGCTTCAAGTGACGAGGACAATAGCAAAAGCATGGAATGAAAGACCCTGGGAGTCTAGGAAGAGAGAGAGGGAGAGCATGACGTGGTGTTCCCAGGCTAGCGAACGAATATGTGAGATTGTATACCATGAATTCGTATACGAAAGCGACACGCAATGCTAGAACGCTACAGATATCCAAATGACCAAAACAGTCAACAGCCAAAATATACTTTTGCTTATACACGGCTTCCGTTCATGGCAGAAGCGGGCAGCTCACCCCCTCTGATCTCACTCATGGCATACCCAGGCCGCCACGCAGGATGAATCTCACTCAACCCACTACCGATATTCACCGTACTCCTCGGCTGCGCTTCAGTAATGTAGCTTACGCCATCTTCCGAGACGTAGGAAGGTGGGCGGGGACCTTCTGGCTGTTGTGATGTGGGTGGTGCATTGGTGGACGCAGCGCTTCCACGTAGAGACGCAGCCGCAAGGACGGCAGGACCAGACATGGATCCAGAGCGCGAGCGCATAGCAGTAGACATGGCGCTTCCGCGCGCAACATCATCGGCACGCTGCCAATGCAACAAGTTGGGGTCGACGCGTACGCTGCTGCGCCAGAGCCCGTACGCCGGTGGCGGAGGTGGCGGCATATCCTTCTCATCATCCATCACTACGTCGTTTGCCAGAGCTGCCTCGCTATCCACACCACCGTCAGCAGCCTCCTCATCCCGCCTGAGATGCACGCGAATTGGAACGATAGGTTGGAAGCCCTCGCCCCCACTTCCCATCATATCGGGCATGACTCCGCGGTGGCTGTCGTGAGGCGAAGGTGGATTCAGCATGAGCATGCAGAGGCGGATGAGGGAGTGGCAGAAGAAGATTGTGATGGTGAGCAGAACCATGATGAAGAGGATGTGAATTTCTTGGCCGAGGGAGCGGTTTGTAAGGGCGATTGCTAGGTCTGAATCACGTTGTTAGTGATGAATACGTGAGGGATTAGAGGAACGGATCAAACTTACAGATTGCGAGGATAGTAATTAAAACCGTCCCCGAAATCACACACGCTATCATCTTTCCTCGTGCAGCTGATCCGCGGATATACACAGCGGTGGTGTGTGTGCCTCGCTCTTCTCTTCTGCGTACCCATCCGTTTGATCCATTTGATCCAGATCGTTCAGTGCGGTGGCGATGGTGGTGGTAGTGCTTTCTCCGCTTGTGGTGCTTCCGGCGTTTGTGTCGGCGGCCGTTTATTTCATCGGCGAGTTGCTGAATCTCGGGGTCTGCAAAACCATCTTGCTGATGACTGCTTCCAGGCAACGGGACGTCCGCTGGGTGACGGGCAGAGTAGACAGTGGTTGGTTCCTGGTGGTCTTGCGGTGGTGCGATGGCGCCGATGTAGGACCCTGCGGTATGATGTGCATGGAGAGGAGATCTGGAATCGTGAGATTCACGATGTGTGGTGTCGGCATCGAGGTTGGGCTGTTGCTGGCGGTTCCAGAAGCCTAGAAATGGTGTTTTAGGTGTGTTGATGTTGGTATTGTTGTTGAGGGCCGGCGACTGCGAGTATATCGACGATCCGTTGACAATTCCCCTCACGTTATTTCGGAATGCGCTGAACCGCGACGGATTCTGTGTTGCAGGCGTCCTTAAAGAGGCCTCGAGGTCCTGATCCTGATCTGGTCGTGGTGACCAAGCGAAAAGTGGTGACCGAAACATGGTGAGATCCGTATATAGCGCGATTTGCTTGGTCAAGTCCAGAAATACACACTTACAAGACCCCCAGGTGCTATCTTGGGCGTATGTGTATTCCTTATAGTGGGCGCGTCCTCGGTGCTAAATGCGTCCTTTCGCGTTGATGTCCCTTGACAACCCCAATGGCGAATGAGAGGGCTATGCTCCTGTTCATGCAGGAACACCTTGTGGCGGGACTGTGACAGGATAGAGAATGTGGAGTAATCGAACAATGAATGGATCCTCGCCCTTGCCCAAGACCCTTCTAGTGTTTGCAGTATGTCCAGTGAAGAACTGTTGGCTATACCTCTTGTTTTCGAGAAAGAATCGAAACCAGAAACCCAAAACTCAGAGCGACAGTATTGGAAAAAAAGACTTGGTTGGAATAAAAAAGGGACCAGGACGGCTATCCAGAGCGCACCTAGGCCAAACGAGCGCAAAAGAACGAAAAGAAGCGAAACAAGCCGGAGCACAGCAACCGCTACCTCTATTACCAATGACTTAAAGGAAAGAAGGTGAACGACAAACAACAACAAGAGGTTGAAAGGGAAAAGGGAACCGTCACAAGGTCGCACCAGGGAGTGGACATGGGGGGCGCGGCATCCAAGAACCAGGCTGGTCATCATAACGCGAGAAAGCATTGAACGCCATGCGTTTCCGCGACGAGTGGCGTATCAGACTTTGATCGCTGTGAGGGTGAAACACGACGTCCAGCGATCCTAGGCTGTGTCACGGACCGCGTTCGCGTGCATCAGATCTGGATGTCTGGCTAATTGTGGCCTGTAGTTGTTGACCGGAAGAAGGGTGCGGGTAGCAAAATGGCGAGGCCGGATGCGCGCTGGTTGGCTGAGATAAAAACAACTTGAAACGTCTACCCCAATCAGGAACGTATAGCTCACCAACTAAGCGGTTACTATTTATGTGCAACGCGACATCATATAGCAGCATAAAGATGCATAACATTCAAATCTCCATCTTTGTTGATTTGTGTCTAACTCTGCTATTGACAGTGATGCCATGACACTGTTCAAAAATTCCGTCTCGTCGACACGTCTTTCTGTTGTTCCTCTCGCTTCCTTGCGGTTATTGAAGACTGTTGTTACATGCGACCTCCCAACCCTGTCAAACGTCGCACCGGCGTATCCAGTCCTATACATAAACAACGCCCTTGTGACGTACCGTGGGGCCGGAAGTCCAACTCGGGCCTTTCTCCACAGCTTTCATCCCGGGGATTTTAATCTCGAAGCAAATTCGCGTAGCCAAGTTGCTTCACCTCCACATTCACTTGCCTAGCTCACCTACCATGAGCTTGCGATCCGAGGATGCGGAGAGCACTAGGATTGCCAAGTCAGCTTCGTGCTTCGTATTGAGGGGTGAAGGGTGTCGAAACGCTTGTTCAAGAGGAGTTTATGCAGTGAAATGTCCTCCTCGCCGCCTCAAGCGCTGAGCGAAGAGGATGTGAGAAAGCTTGGAAAAGCCTCTCCGCAGAGCCTTCCCGCTTTGATCGCCATAGGGCTGGGATGATGAAGCGTAGCGTGGGGTCTAGAACAGATACTTGGGCGAAAGCGAATGCGAAAGAAAGTCTGATGCACTTACAGATTGGTTCACCGAGCGGGTGGAACCGCACATCGTTGACAGCACCTCGATGGCCAGGAAGCTTGTTCAACAGCTTTCCTGTCCGCGTCTCCCAGACGGCTACGCTCTGGTCCCCGCTCCCAGCAGCAATCTTCTCTCCCTTGGAGTCCCAGCTCGCCTTCAGGAGGTTGCGCTCTTGGCCGGTTGGGGCTCCGTCGTATGTCTGAATGCGCCTGTCTGCAGGCGCAAATGGTCTCACATCCCATGTCCTGACAGTCGAGTCGTGTGCGTTTGATAGGAGAGTTTGATTGTCAGGAGACAATTGGAGCGAGGTGACGGTATCCGTGTGACCCAGCAGCGTGTAGGTGACGGCCTGTTTCCGTAGATCCCAGACCTTGATGTCGTTGTCGATGCCTCCGGTGAAGAGCTCGTTGCCAGCTTCTGCCAAGCATATGGCGGTTATGGGGAAGTCGGTGGGGATGAATGTCACGGCGTCTTTGGTTCTCGTGTCCCAGATCTGGAAGAGTCAGAAATGCTCGACGAGTATATGTTGATGCACTCACGCCGATGTAGCCGTCGTCTGAGCCGCTCACGAGCATCTCCTCACCACGCTTGCTCACGTCCATGCAGTTGATGACCTCTTCGTGCCCGGGGTGTCTTCGTATCCTCTCTCCCGTCTCGACGTCCCAACTGGCTAGGTGCATATCGGCCGAGGCGGAAAAGAGGACCTTGGAGTCGCGCGACCAATGCAGATCAAGCACCGCTTGCTTGTGTCCTGTCAGAATACCGTAGTTTTCGCATGATGCAGAGCTGCGCCAGAGTAGTATGGATCGGTCCATGGAACCGGACGCTATGTACTGTCCCGTCGGATCGAATCGCGCTGCGAAGACTTCGCCAGAATGGCCCGTCAATTCCATAACCGGCGACTGCAGCGCGCTGGTACGCGACCCCTACAGCACCTGTCAGCACGTCGACATCTTCAGCTTGGTACTCTATCATAAGTCCTTGGTTGTCACATACCGCTTGTATAAGCGCGCCATTTGCGCCAGAGCCATTCACTTTGGCTACCGCCGAGCTCGCAAGGTTCGCGTCCGACTTTGTGCGCTTGACCAGTTGGCTGGTACCAAAGGCTTCATTGGCGGGTCGCTTTTCTCTCGACATGGCGATGGAGGGGTGCTTGGTTCGCTATCTTGGCGGGCGGTGTGGATTGTTGCGCTGTGGTTGCAGGCGAGTTGCAGCTGGTAAACTTTCAGGCAAGGCAGATGCGCGCTAACGCCCGCCCGTACCAGGAACGCTCCTCCGCAGTCCGCATGCTCCCCGACGCCGACAACACGACTTGATATCACACTCCTACACCAAATACCCGTGACATCACACTCCTACACAAAATACCCGTGACTCTCTAGCACATCCACATGGCTTCATCGACCAAAGCGGCCCGCATGGGCGAGGAGTGAGCTCCAGGCGTCTAGTAGTTGCTTCAACATGTGCTAATAGATGTCAGAGTGTGGAAGTAAGTCTCGCATACGACTGGCCTGGGCGACTGCATCTGACAACCCAAGGACACGAGTAGACAAGGTCAGCGCCGAGCTCGTCACCCTCACATACGGCACCATTGTCGCCCAACTATGCAAGGACTACGAATACAACTACCCCGACGTCAACAAGCAACTCGAGCGCATGGGCTACAACATCGGCATACGGCTGATTGAAGACTTCCTGGCCAAGTCAAGCGCACCTGCCTGCACCAACTTCAGAGAGGTCTCTGAGATGATCTCAAAGGTAGGCCCGACGAGCCGCATATACTTTCACCGCAAGCTGACGTACCGGCTATAGGTTGGCTTCAAGATCTTCCTCAACATTACACCGACAATCACCAATTGGTCGAGCGACAACAAGCAGTTCTCCCTCATCTTTGAAGAGAACCCACTTGCCGACTTTGTGGAACTGCCCGACGATGGCCGCGCGCAAGATGAGCTCTGGTTCTCCAACATCCTGGTCGGCGTACTGCGGGGTGCACTAGAGATGGTATGTAAAGAGCGTGTCTGGATGGTTTATACATATAGTATGCTGATATCGGCCAGGTACACATGCAGGTCGAGGCGCACTTTGTCAGTGACGTTCTCCGAGGCAATGACACAACTGAGATGCGGATAACGTTGATCCGCTTTATTGACGACGAGATGCCACCGGACGATGAGTAGAACAAGGTTGCGCAACGAGAATGCAAATCCGTTGTTTCGTGCTGAACATGTAGGGGTGCGCGGAATGCATCATCTGCCTGGAATTGCACTCTGTGATTGTGTTGGTAGAATCGGGACAGACGCCCGGCGAACTCACTGCACAAGACTAGGTAGAGTGCACTATTGAGATGGCCATTGAAGCCAATGAGAAGGCAATTGCACAATGGCGCAATTGCACTACCACTGATGATTGTAGACGGAGTCTGAAGCTACAAGGTGCATTAGTCTTTCCTCGCCCCTTAATTTTAACGTAATGTCGACGGAAAATCACACCCAACAACCAATTCATGTGAGTACGTCTACGGGTACAGGTATAGGATTGCTACGGCTCTGCGTCGTGGACATGTGTGTCGAGTTCGCGTTACATGTGCCCCACCTACCTCCTAAATACGCAGGCACAGGTGCTGGAGTGCTGTCATGCGATCACGATACAACCCATCTACCATGTCTGACGTCTTGACTTGCTTGATGCGGAATGAAAAACAAAATCCAACCACAGTTGCGATGAGGGCGTGATGGAGCGCGATAGGAGGCTGGAGCATACGAGTCTAATAATACCGAAATCACGTGGGCGACTTGGCGCAGCTCACGAGCGGCCGCACGCTTCCCCTCGATCTGAATCACTTTCAACTTCGCACAACCTTGCGACAATCCATCTGTGCGGCTGATCCAGACGCGCCCTCTTGCGCCGGCACATCTCCATCGTTGTTGTTGTTGTCGTTGTCGTGACGAGATCTCTTGGCAGCCTCCGTGCAGCGCGCCGCTGAGGTCCCTCTTGTGAAGTCCTTCCTTCACGCTAACCCCCGACCCATACCGTGCATCAGCCGCCGCCTTTTCATCGCGACACCAGCGTCGCTACCCTTTCTCGGCAACCTTCATCCCACCCGGCTGCCCATCTCGCGCGACATCACCGGCCCTCGTCGTCCAGCACATCGCGTCCTTGGCACGACGCTCCGCTCCGACTCCCAGCCCGTGGCGACGACGTCCCATGCTGTTGTAGTCGGCCCATCCAGCACTGAGGTGCACGACACAGCGCGTCTATTGCTACCACCGCGCACCTATCGCTAACTCCCCACCCACCCATCGCGCCTGCCCAACCCAGCAGCACACGACGCCGCGATGCAGAACCAGCAAATGGCCCAGATGCAGGCGCAGATGAATGCGAATGGCTCCGTCAACGGCACCCCCGTCATGGGCAACATGGCGCAACCCAAACGCATGGGCAACAACGACCCGGTTGAAAAGCTCAACACGTACATCTACGACTACTTCCTGCGGAACAGGCACCACGCCCTCGCGCGCGCCATGCTCGATGGCGACCTGAAGATGTCCACCGAGAAGCCGAGCCCCAACAAGTCCAATGTAGCCAGCGACATCGACATGCCCGACGACATGCCCCTGCCCGCACTGCCTGCAGGCCAGGTCGCCGACAACTCCTTCCTGCTCGACTGGTGGGTCCAGTTCTGGGACATTTTCGCCGCCGCCAGAGGTCCCAACGGCGGCCCCAAGAATGCCGTCCAATATCTCGGCCACAACCGGGTACGTACAAACAGTTCCCCGTCAATCGAACAAGACTGACGACTAGACAGAATCTTGGCCAAATGCAGAACGAGCAGCGAAACCAGCGCTTGATGATGGCCAACAACCCCATGGCCAACGCGCAGTACATGATGGCCCGGAACGGTGGCATGACCAACGGCAAGCCCACTGAACTCCAGCGGACAGCACACATGAACAACCGCCCGTACGTAGTATCTGAAGCATCGCGCCGTCTATACCCCCTTAGCTAACCGCAGCAGAACCGGCAACCCCATGGCGGGCATGCAGTCCATGAAGAACCCCAACATGATTCAGATGCAACGAGACGGCTCCAACATGGACATGAACGGCAACCGCCCCAACTCGCCCGGGTCCAACGAAAATGCCCCTTCTCCAAACAAGCGCCCCCGCGTCGAAGGTACGTCATCTGTCACACCCACGACGAGGGCACAAGCTAATCAAGACCGGCCCACAGGTGGTATGAATGCTGGTAACATGCCCAACAACCAGTTCAATGAATTCATGCCGCAAGGCCCAGGTGCGCAGCAGAAGAACATCGAGGTATATGCCCAAAGTCTGGCCCATCAACACAGAGTGGCAATGAGTAACACTTCCTCCCCCCAGGGTATCAACTCTGGCGTCCAAGGCTCTCCAATGGCCCAGTCCGGCCTCGACGGTCAAGACCTCACCTTCGCTGGCAACGGCCCGCGGCCCGGCAGCATGCCCACCAATCCTCCAGGCGCACCCCAGCAGGGCAACCATGCGCTGCAGGACTACCAGATGCAACTCATGTTGCTTGAGCAGCAGAACAAGAAGCGGTTACTCATGGCTCGGCAAGAGCAAGACAACCAATCTGGACATCCTCAGCAAGGCGTCATTGGCGCTCCAGGCTTTGGCGCTGCCATGTCGCCGCAAGGTAGCAGAGCTGGTGGCCCATCGCCTAACCCTGCCGACCAAATGAAGCGAGGTACACCAAAGCTCGGCCAGCAGAATTTACCCGGCTCACCTATGCCAGAGGGAATTATGGGTCAGCAACGTGGATCACCCGCACCCAACATGAACTTCGACCCCACTCTAGCACCCCCAGGAATGCCTCCGCAATTCTACCCCCAGAACATGGGCCCGGGCCCCAACGGCAACCCCATGATGCGGCCTCCAAGCTCACACCCGAATGGCGGTCCCCAGTTCAACGGACAACCCATGACGCAGGAGCAAATGCAAGCCATGCGCAATGGCCAGATGGCCCAGAATGGTGGTTGGCGTGGCGGGCCCCAACCAGGCATGATGGGCCCTGGCGGCCAGCAGATGGGCGGACCCATGGGCCAAAACCCTCAGCAGCGGCAACAAATGCCGCCTCCTCCAGCGCCCACGAACGAACAGCCACGACCCGAACCATCTCCATCAGTGTCTAATCAGGCACCACCGACGCCGAACCAAGGAAACAAGGCCAATCCCAAGAAGAAGGTAACCAAAGACAATAAGGTAAAGTCTCGCGCTTCCCCCCGCGCACTCTACCCCCTCGAGCAACGTTGATATTGATTTTAGAAGCCCGCAAATAAAAAGGGTAACGCAGGTGCTACTCCGGCTACATCGAACGGCGAAGAACCACCGACACCGACCTCATCGACTCCCGTCGCGCCCATCACGCCCGTACACAAGCAATCCTTCAACCAAGGACAAAACGGCGGGCCCCAGCAACCCGTGCAACCTCAGCCTCCCTCCGACCAACCCATGGATAACGGTGGTCCCCCATTTGGCAACATTGACGGTGACGTAAGTGACAGGTCCGCAATGAGTAAAGGGATGCTTTTTGCTAATGAAACATATAGCCCAACGGTATCGATCTCGCCTTTAACTTTGGCGATGACGCTGGTGCGCTCGAAAACTTTGACTTTGACTCATTTTTGCATACGGGAAATGACAATGACGCTTTTGGCAATCTGGTCAGCGACTTTGATTTCCCGAACGCGGTCGATGCATAGCGCACTTAGAAAATCCAAGTGTTCGATTGCCCTTTCGCTTAGTCGATCGGTCGGCGCCCTGTTGGTGGTTGGCCTTTTGTTGTGGTGGAACAAAAACAAAATCCTGTTTTCATATACCCGTGTTGTCTCTTACCAAAGACCACCACCCTACATCGATCGCTTTCTCATCTCTTCTCTCTTATTGGAGCATACGGGGCTTAGGGCTTAAGGGCTTAAGGGGATTTAGTCTTCGGGCGGTTCGTTCTAAACCCTTTCTCTGTTCGTCATATGGGCGTTATTATCTGTTGGCGTCTTGCTTGCTATGTTCTGCCGCTTACGTACGGAACTTACCTTGCTTATGCTATCTATGTTTGTTTGGCCTCTTCTGGCCATTTAGCTTTTCTCCTCACATATCGCTACCTACTACCACAATACTCTATTTCCTTGTCTTGTTCGAATTTGCTTTCTTGCTGCTGCTGCTGCCTTTGTTATGTTTGCACTACAACAACGCATCTTTTTTTTTTCTCTTTCTCTTCTTCTTCTTCTCTTGCATCCATTCGCTATCTACGGCTGTCTACACTATGTGTAGTGGTAGACGTCCTTTACCTTTTTTTTCTTTCGTGGGTGTGGGTGTGTTTTGCTTATAGTTTGTCGTTGTTGTTGTTTCTCGATGTTCATGTTCATGTTCATGATCATGGACGTTTTGGACGTGGAAAGTTGGAAAGAGAACGAGAAGAGGAAGGAAGGAAGACTGATGTAGCCGTGGAAAGTGTGCTAGGGGAAGGGACGAGTGGAGGAGAAGGGGGTGAGAGGGTTCGTTTAGAAAAACCCGTTGCTATACCATTAAATTTTTCTTTTATCTTGTTTCGATGGCGATTGGAGGGAGGGAGAGGGAGACGAAGATGTGTGGGAGAGAGGGAGAGCGAGGCGAGAATCAGTGGTCAGCTTTTATATATATCATTCGAGATGACTTAATGCCAGATATAAGTTCTTTTCTTTCTCTTTTTTTTTTCTTTTTGAGATATCTTAGTCTCACACGCATGCTTGTATCGAGTGATGGAATGATGTGTGAAATCAATATGATTCTTGGTATGAATCTATGTGAGTGAGGATTATCATGTTCCTTCTCTGATGGCCTTGTGGATTTACACTGACATCGCACTTTGACGTTGAATGCGGATAGGTCCAAGTAATATAAAAAAAATCGGCCGAGGGGTATAATAGCACGAGAGGAATTAGAGTATTCAGTGCAGATGGTTTCCTACTTGAGGTGGATGGTGATTGGCCTTCGTATTCAACATGTGGATAGCAAGAGACAGGAACTCGCTAATGTCACAGGTTCGGCCGTAGCGGAGAATATCCTTCCCCCGGACATCCCACCCTGTCTCGTCAGGTACACTACGTGTCTGATGTGGAGAACGTCTGGGTCTAGTTTCAGTACATGTCACATGCTCTCTAGAACTTGCACCTGCATTGTCGATCGCACACGTGATGTGATGGACTCATGCCGGTCGAAACCACGAACCTCGGTCACCCTTGCTCCGAACCGAGTATTTGGTACAAAGGCATGTATTCCGAGAACCCCCTTTCGGTTCCGCTTTGAGAACACATTAGGATGCGGTGAGGAGTAGTCTTTTTGTGAGCAGGCTGAAAGTGAGTGTCAAGTTTCATTCATTGCTCCCTCCTAGCCTGTGAGCACCGTCGGAATACCGACGTAATCTATCTACGGTACTTTGAGCAATCTATGTATACATTCTATTCGTGACCAGGACCAATACTTCGTGACCCTTATAACCCAAGGAGAGTCGTTCAACCATCAACCATACCAACTCATTAATATGAGCCATAACCCATAACCCGTGACCCGTAATGCATAGCCCATCGTCCAATCCATCATGCCCCATTATACTCCATCAAATTCCTCAGCACACCAAGCTCGTCCCTCAACTCCCCTCACTCACGGTCGACAGCCTGTGAAGCCAGTTTGAATACTTACCCGGCCGTCTAGTAAGTATTCTCACCCCTCCCCCCAAACCCCTGACCCTCAAGTGCCTTCTTCTTCCTAATCTGATGAATACTGGCTACCGTCGGGATCGTCCTAGTCCCATCATTGCTAACCAACCCACCAACAGGCCCCCTCTGTGCTTCCAGGTCTGGTTCTTGAGATCCCTCCCTAACCTTTTCAATCTCCTCTTTGACCTCCTGGTCCTTGTCGTCGTCATCCTGACCGGGGTTCGCGACCTCGTATTCGAGGATCTTGATGAATTGGTAGAAGACAACGGCAATGATAGCGCCGACTGCGGGGCCCACCCAGTAGATCCAGTGTTCCGTGTCGAAGACGCCAGTTACGACGCAGGGGCCGAAGGAGCGGGCAGGATTGAGAGAGCCGCCGGTGTAGTAGACGCCGACTAGCTCTGCGATGAAGAGGGCGAGGCCGATGCCGACAGGGGCTATAAAGGTGGCTGGTGGGGGAGTTAGTTATTTGGGTTGGACGAGCAGAAGGTATGAAGGAAAGACATACCTTTGTGTTTCTCCTTTGCCAACATGAAGATGGTAAAGACCAGCTCTGCTGTAAGCAGTGCCTCAATCAATACGCCCTGCGCCAGACTGGTCCCCTCACCAAGTGTAGTCCGAACATTAAAATCCGTAGGGAACAAGACACTGACGATGTAACTGGAAAATATACTTCCCGTGATCTGCGCTGCAAGTAGCAAGAAGGCGCGGACGGGTGACAGAGCGCGACAGAGTAGCATGGCGAATGTAACGGCCGGGTTGAATAAACCACCACTGATACGGAAGAACACCCAGACATTTACCATGAGGGAGAAGGCGAAGACGAGGGCAATATAGAGGAGGACGATGGGGGAGAAACCGGCGGCTTCGTTGGTTGTCGTGTTCTGATCTGGGTTTGCTGAGGAGTCGATGTTGGCGACTTGGGTGCCGGAGAAGGCGAAGAAGAGGAACATGGTTGTTCCTACAAATTCTCCTACGAAAGCGACAAAGTCTTCGACGGAATGTGTTAGCGACGTAGAGGAACGAGTAAGGTGGAGATTACTTACGGTTCTTTGCATTACTTCCCATCCAGACGGCCCAGGGCAGCCTCATCACAGCCTTCGCTGATGGGTACTCTGGCGGTCCCTTGTTTCCTCCACTTCCGGTACCCGGCATAGGAGGGCGGCGTGGAGAGTAATCCGTCTGCTCGGGGTAGTACATTTCATAGTTTGGCTTACCCGGTGTATCCGAGTATTGGGGCTGCATGTTTGCGTCGACACTATTCCTTGGTATCGGTCCATATCTGGAGTTTTGCTCGACGTAGTTGCGGTAGGCCATAGGAGGGCCTTGAGTGCGACGGTTCGACCGACGACGGTACATTTGAGGGTTGTAATCTTCCTCTTCATAGTCGTCTTCTATGTATGGACCACGATGAGTGGTAGGGGTGTAGGGAACATTCTGAGATGGTCGTCGAGGACGATTAGGTGCCCACTGGTCATTGGGGTCACTTTGACCTCCTATTCTCCGAGCATTGGACGGCATTGACCTCAGGGGAAGGTCACTCTGTTGCTGCTGCTGTTGCTGGGGCAGACTCTGATCAGACTCCATATGGTAGTCGATATGTGCTGGGTGGGGTTGTGCTGGTAGTCGTAACAACTCTTGCCTTGAGTCACTGGATGCTCGCGTTGGTGGCATAACAGGGGATTCCATTATCGTACCATCTTGCAGTGTCTGGCCATAGTACTGAGGCTGCTGGTTGTTTTGTTGCGCCATGTAGGCGAATTGAGTGATGGTAACTGCTAGACTGATCGATGAAGGTTTGACAAGAAGGTGAGAGCGTTGGAGAGGTGAAAGAGTTGTAATAGAGCGTTTGAAATAGTGACCACGCTTGTATGGCTAGCTGGATAGTGATGGTGTTTGGTAGCAGTTTAGTATAGTGTAGATCAACGCTCAAAGTTATGCGTCGTTGTGCTGAGCGGTCAACGAGACCATATATGCTCGCTGGCCAAGGCTATAGCGAAGACCCTGAATAGACCCATCACCCGCCTCTCGTCATGCCTAATTTGGTCCAGTGTCGTCTGTCCGTAGTCTTCTCGGCGTGATATCAGCCCGTGCATTTGCTTCATTCGTTGATGGGAGCAACGGGTGGGTTCCATATCCAGGGTTTCGCTCATCGAGGCCAGAACGACGCTTACAATGACGTATCTTCGTTGTCCCTTGATACAAAAATGGGCGGGATGCACTTAGTCGTAGCATGGGGTATCTTGTAAAAGAAGCATGCATTGCCTAGTGGGGGCAAACAGGAGTTTGTCAGGAGGTTGAAACCAGCCGTTGTCCGTAGGGATGGCGATGGCCGGCAAATGAAGAGGCTGCATGATCTTGAAAGTTCTTGCAAGTTACTCGAGAGTTCACAAGGTAGTCGCTTGTAGTTGTGATCGCAACCGGGATGTTCGTGGTAGGCTATCGGTTATCTTGTATGGGTGCTAGCGGGATCCCTGCCGCAATGCAGAATCACAACCCCAGTACCTGTTTCGCCAGCAAAAGTAAAACGCCTAGCTGCGTGGACACGAGAGGCGTTTGAAATGGGCTAATAATGACGAAAACCTGGAAGCCTGGGCAATAAGGCATTCATAGAGTCGCGATAGTTGTTGAGCAAAGGGAGTGAAGTTCTATTCGACACCGCGAGCGTCGTTCGAAATGACTAATTTCACGATCGACAATACCGTCGTCTCGGTTTCGCAGGGTAGCAAAGTATCCTGCATGTCGGTGCAACGGAGGTACGTATTCTTTTCTCCGTCCGCGCGATGGCTGTCTTTGTGTGAGGCTGCGTAAGCACTACGCCGTATATTCTAGATACTGGAGGCTGGAGGGGCTAGTCGGAATACGAAGCTGTGTGTTGTCGTCAGATCCTTCGCGGCAGAAAAGCAAAACGGGAAATATCGAGTTGTGATCCAGCCTCGTGCGGGGCGGTGGCTGTATTGATCTGGGTTGTATCCATGTAGTGGATCTCCGGATCTTCGATGAGCTGACGTTGTAAGAGGCCGAGAAAGAACCTATTCACACAATGACGCGCTTCCGCGAGATACCGAATTCTCCCGTGGCCATTCCGTACTACCTCGCTCGCTGTGGAGTGGAATGCGACGATGTACAGATGCAGTGCCACAGAGATGATTACTTTGTGATGTCCTTCTCACGGTGAGTAACAGCTGTAAGTGTTGAGGTGGGTCATCCACGTCGTTTGCTGGGGAGCCCTACGACTGTGCAGACCCATGCTCTATTTGACACGAACAAGGACGATATGAAGAAGCGAGTACGAAAGAACGCAGGCGTCTGACGAAGAATCAGGTACGTCAATTGCGAAGTTCATGTGTGTTTGACATGTTTATTGTCTATCATAGCAAGTTATCGACGGATGGGTCGGCCCGCGTTATTCGTCCGGAGCATGGCGAAGCGCTCACTTTTGCTCGCCCTGGCCTGAGCGCTCAGACTCAGCAATGACATCGTCGCTGCATTGTTGTTAGTGTTGACATTCTCCATCTGGCCAAGTCCTAGGTATACTGACATGTGCTTGTCCAAGTCCTCCATGTGCTGCCTTTGCGCCTTGAGCTTCTCCTTGATTGCCATGAGCCTGTTTGTTGTCAGAAAAATGTACTAGGTCTTTACTCCGTCTGAAAGATGTACGTACTTGGCCTTCTCTTCTTGGCGAATGAAGAGCTCCTCGCTAGCAGACTCGCGCTTGGTGAAGGCGTCACTAATAGTTGAGTCAGTTGAGCTGCTTGGAACTGACGATCTGAATCTTAGCCTCGACTTACCCGCCAGCGGATCCGGTAGGCCTTGAGGATCCTGAGCCGGTAGCTCCCTCTGCCATTCGGAGGGCAGATGCGGAGAAGTAACGGGGAGCGGCAATTGAGCGCGCGCTCTTGATGATGGATGTGCGAAGCATTGTTGCGTTTGGTAGAGAGATTTGGGTTGAGTACTGAGAGGGTGTTGTGTGGTTATATGCAATTGGTATGCTGAGGTGGAGTGATGGCTTGAAGAACATGGAGCTTGGACGTGCATGTGCGTCATCGCCCGGTTCTCACGTGACGTCGAAGGGTCTCAACACCGTTGCCTGGTCCACTCGATAGTTTGGTACACACGAGACAGACGTACGAAAGTCGAACTTGTTCTTGTTCCACGTCTGTTCAGATCAGGCAAGGGGGTTGATTGACAGACGGTATGCTTCAATGCGGCCCATGGGGGTTTGGATGCACATGATATTTCATTGCTCAAAGCACAACAGCAAGTGCCATGAGAGACTTAGGGGCTAACATTAGTACATGTTATGCAACATCACGGTCTTGATCTTAACGCGATTGGAAAGCTACACTGTGTCTGCCCGCCCAGAAAACGCCCGGGACGTTCAGAACAGAAGAGTCATGGTACCCACTGCCTGATCAGAGCCAATGCCGGCTCTACAAAAGCAAACGTGATGCCCAATCCTCGTGGTGAAGGCTGGTCCTTGTAGCTGTCATGGAAGGGGTGTACTGCGGGGCATGCCGTTCAGGGACTCATGGAGGCAACACCCCCAAGGCGGCTCTACAAGCCTGGAAATAATGGCAGGCACTATGCAAGTGAGGATTTGGCCGCTGAGGCGGTGACGGGCGCTGCTCGCCTGTCAGAACATAAGGTCGCGCCTGTTCTGGGCTGGGCCGTGTGAAACCAAGGATAGGCAGGCGTGATCGCCGCCAAGACGAGTCGGGTTCTCTCCCTCTCAAGTCCCCTCCTCTGATAACTCAACCACAAGCCGCCTTCGACCAAAACACTTGCACTCCGTTTCTCGTCAACAACACACACCCCGCCTCTAACAACCTACGCTTCTGCACACTCCCTCCCCTGTACCAACTTTTCTCTTCGTAAGTGCTCCACCGCATTCCGTCACTGCCCAAGAACTCGCGGACAGCTGCAATTTGCGCCTTGGACTGCGGTAAACAACGCCCGTCGTTCCCATCAGCATAGCCGGCTATCGAGACCGCCCCTCGCTCAACCCCCCCTGGCCGCTGTTGTTGAGGGTGTCGTGGATCGGCGCTCTTTTCGGAGACCCGTGATAGCTCGAGCCGCCCCTCTTCGCGCATCTGCCCTGTTGCCAGGTGTAAAGGCTACGCAAGCAATTGCTGGGCTCCACTTGCCGCATTCTCCGACTTCTCAACACACGCAGCAAAACAATCGACAGCGGCAGAGACAGCGAAACGGCATTTTCTCCGATTACGGCAGTAGCGCACATTGAGGGGCGGGCTTGCTGCTTAGCAACTGCGATAACCACTGGTCGCACTTGTTGCGCGCTCCAACTCGGTTCACATCAGCTAACAGCGATTTCCACAGACTACACATCACAATGGGTTACGAAGACTCCGTGTACCTGGCCAAGCTGGCCGAGCAGGCCGAGCGTTATGAGGGTAAGCGCATCTGCAATGAGGCACAGCATTGTATTCTAACATCGTATGACAGAGATGGTCGAGAACATGAAGGCTGTTGCCTCTGCAGACCAGGAGCTCTCCGTCGAGGAGCGAAATCTCCTTTCCGTTGCCTATAAGAACGTCATCGGTGCTCGCCGCGCCTCCTGGAGAATTGTCACCTCGATCGAGCAGAAGGAGGAGTCCAAGGGCAACGAGACCCAGGTTACTCTTATCAAGGAGTACCGCCAAAAGATCGAGGCCGAGTTGGCCAAGATCTGCGAGGACATTCTTGAGTGCCTTGACGGCCACCTGATCCCCTCTGCTGAGAGCGGAGAATCCAAGGTCTTCTACCACAAGATGTAAGACACCACACACACACTACAATACCTAGCTAGCTTTGCTAACCATTCTCTCTTTTCCAGGAAGGGCGACTACCACCGTTACCTTGCCGAGTTCGCCGTTGGTGACAAGCGCAAGACTTCCGCCGACAAGTCGCTCGAGGCCTACAAGGCCGCTACCGATGTTGCCGCCTCCAACCTTGCCCCTACCCACCCCATCCGTCTCGGTCTCGCATTGAACTTCTCCGTTTTCTACTACGAGATCCTCAACTCGCCCGATCAGGCTTGCCAACTCGCCAAGCAGGCTTTCGATGACGCCATCGCTGGTACGTAAAGGGCAAGAGAACCATGTCTGAACAAGACTAACAAAACGCAGAGCTCGACACCCTGTCCGAGGAGAGCTACAAGGACTCTACCCTCATTATGCAGCTCCTCCGTGACAACCTGGTAAGTCTTTATACACGCCTTTCTACATCTACATCCAGCGTACTAACTCCACTCAGACTCTCTGGACATCGTCCGAGGCCGAGCCATCCGGTGACGCACCCGCCGGTGAGCCCGCCACCGACGCGCCCAAGGCTGAGAGCAGCGAGGCTCCCGCCGACGCCAAGGCATAAATTCGAAAAACCAATAACACAGACGCAAAAACGGCAGAGGTTTAGTGGTGATATGGTGCATCTTGGTAAGCAAACGGTCAATGATGGCTAGATTCATCGTTTTCTCAGTGTGGCATGAAGGGTATATCCTAGGTGTGACTTCAGGGCCGGGTATGCGCTTTGTTTAGACTACAAATTTTCAATCCTGTCTACATCCTCTTACCATGTGTCTTGTCACACATGCGCACCTGCCCCTGTGGCACCCATTATTATCCCTTCTCTATCCATACAAGTCTCGACTTACATGTCAACATGCTTCCTTTGCGACTAGAGTGCGGCTGGTGGCTACTTATCATAGCTTTGCTATTCCTACAATCTTTTCAAGGATTATAATCAAAGATATC